ATATGCTAGCCATATATACAGTCAAAATTCGATATATAACGATAGGTCGGGGATAATTAATAAAAAATTCGATATAACGATAGGTCGGGGAAAATTAGTAAAAAATTCGTTATACGTATCGAGAATTTATTATAAAAATCATTATATCGTGTTTAGATTGTATATAGAAGCTTTATATTGTGACAAGTAATAAAAATCCGCGATGCTGTAGTGCAGGCTTATATCGGTTATTACAGAACTTGATTTGATATTGTTTACAAATCGATGTTGTGCCGTTCAACCGACCCCTTAGAGAACACGTGATCTCACAATTTTCCGTCGTTACTTCCGGCTGGTCAAAAATTTACCGGATTTGGATTTTTTCAGCTGCTTAAAACCGGTTAAAACCGAACACTCTCCGTGGCTTATTCAAAAGTTTACCATATTTAGTACGGCAAAATCATTATTCGACATACATACGTAATCTTTCCAATTGGCATCTTCCATTAACGTTAACGTTAATAAATATCGATGGCAGCGGACACCAGTCAACTAGTTGCAGATGTTATTACAGAGATCCTCGAAAATCTGAGTGTCCGTGATTTACTTTCAGCCCTTCTAGTTAACCGAGAATGGTGCCAAGTCGCCGTTCCAATGTATTGGAAAGCTCCATTCAGTTATAAATATAAAAGGAGTATGACCGCACTAAAGATTTACGAATTGTTTCTTGAACGAGGAAGCAGTACACTTATAGGAACGACAGAAAATTCTGCGCGGGGAACAACAATTCAAGAGACTCCAATGCTTTACGATTATCCGTTGTTTCTCAAAGAACTCAATTATACAAACCTACTAGCGTTAAAAGGAATAGATGGAAAGGTTAATGCAATACTTCAAATGCTAATAAATCGTGGAATTCGTCTGAACACTTTTATTATGGATAATACCGGTTCAAAAAGCGAAAGACATTACGAAATATGGACAACACCACGCTATGCCTCAATATTCAGTTCCCTCATTCGCGTTGAAATACGCACGCCTTTTCCAAAAAATCATGTCATAAAGACATTAGCAAAAAATTGTACTATGCTGGTATGTTTGTATTTCTAAACTTTAAAGATTGAAATTTTGGTCTAAATTAGAGTGAGTACACGCACGATACATGAGGTTGTTTGGCAATGTCTTTCAAAAAAAAATTTTTTTCTTTATATTGTCGGCATTGGTGTGTAGCGGTTGCATAGTTCTAATATCTTAAATACTCACGATAAATATTTAAATTATTTCCTCAAGTCCTATCTCGATATCAATCTTCACGACAACTCTATTGACCGTGTTAAGAAAACGCTCAATTATCTTGAGGAATTCATCTCAGTCCAGCGATGCCCTTTGAATCTTCGGTTGGTATTTCCAAATGGTCCTGGGAAAATGTTAATCAAAACATTGCAGTCCCAATTTGAATCTCTCAAACGTCTTGAGCTTGTAAAATGGAACTTCAGCGAGTGTGATGATTGGGGATGGTTGAAAAAGTGTCCAAATTTGACCGAATTTGCAATCACAAGCTCTCTTCAGACACGAGTTTCTGCCATTTTAGACGTTAAATACGAAACCTATCATTCGAAATCGTCGAATAATTCTAGACTTACAACTGCACATTGGCATTTCGACAAAGACGGCGAAACCTCCTCAATGCCAAACTTTTACTTTCACTCAGGTAAATCATCGATGGTGCAATATTATGATATAGATGACTTCCAATATGATTACCATTATCTAGAAGCAAGAACTAGAAAATCTAGAAGAAAGAATTAGAAACTTTTTAAATTAATGGCTTGGTAACATTGTATTTAGCTTTTATTCGTCATCATAAATCCAAATTTATATTACGTAAATATTGAATTTTTCAAAAAGAATGTAATCCTGTTTTCCTTATAGATAAAACTATCACCGATCTCGATGTTAACTAACGCTAAGTTTAATTTGAATCTTACCCTATTTTTCAAACTACATAGCTTTTTGCCAGCAAGATTGTACATTGATCATTAAGTAATCATGCTATACCGATACCGTATCTAGCAATAGGGGGTACGTACAGCATCACGCAATTTGCTTGCATTTTTCGTATTGTTACTTTTTGCCCAAATATATCCATAGTAACAGTAACGGTAACACTAAATGTATGTGTTAAAAACACAAATTAGGTATGATATCATTAGCGTTAACATTATATAAATGCTAAATCAATACATGTATTTCTATCTTAATCGAAACACATACAAAAGAAAAAAGCATCCAAACATTAAAATATGGCGAATGATAATGATATCGTATCAAATATTTTTGGTGCAGCCATAGTCGGAATAACAATTACATTAACATCACATTCATACCTTCACTTAAAACTGCTAAAAAAAAATGGTCACGAAATAATACTATTAAACATTGCAAACATTTTCACACTCGCGAATGAAATAGTTGTTCTAATGTTTTGCTACGCGAAACAAGGATTTTTAAATCCGGAAACTATTCCATGGCTAAATTTTTTATCAAATCTTGCTTATTGTATTGCAAAACCAACAATTATGTATTTGGCATACTTGCGCGTTTCATACGTTTACAAGAAATATCGACAATACTGTTTATTCCATTTCTGGCTCTTGGCATGTAGAACTGTGTTTTTGGTGATGGTGTTGTTGACGGAATTAAAATTGGATCTGGAGTGCACGGGAATCAATAATGAGACAAAAAAATGTCATACGTTGAGCACATTATGGAAAATTGATGCGGCGTCGACTCCATTATGGCGATTTTACTATATAGTATCTGAAGCAATATTCTTCTATTATTTAATGAAACATCTGAACAATATAAACAAAGGAGCTGACATAAAAATTATTCGATATGCGCGTTTTCAGACAATTTTATTTTTGATTGATATTCTTCAACTGACTGCATTTAGCATATACAAATGCAGGTCTCTTTTCGAGAAATCGATTTCTAAGTTTGTTTATTTTGAAACTCTGAGTTGTGCGTTCACCGTTTACAACATGTCGCAATTCGGAATCAAAATCCCGAGATTATTTCGTGAGTCACCACATGAAGGGGAAATTTCACCGGTCCCGTATCAGGATTCGCCGAAGTATGATTCCTATCCGTTTCATTTGAGCGCAGAAGCAAATTTATATTATACGGGTAATGATCCATTGTACATGTATTCGCTTAGCATTTTAAGTGATGCTATTCCATTAGACGAGCAACAACAGTCAACGACAAACCAGAATAGTTACAACTTCTCGAAGCGAGATGATTCAAATAATTCCGATTCAGCAGTTATTCAAACACTGTCAAAAGCAAAGACAAAAGATCGGTATGATAAAAATTGCATTGAGGAAGAATCTGAATATTATGAGGACAATGATGACATTAAGCTAACATCAATATCCGGATCAAATGACTAGGGGTGGGGTAGGTATACTTGCTTCCAAAAGCCCTAAAGTGAAACATTCTAAAAAATTGAATAAATTAAAATTATTATAATAATTTAATATCAATATTAACGTTAAGCACGTACTTCATCTGTAAATATGTAGTTTATTTTTTATGTCTGAAATTAATTTTCCCCTCCCAAAAAGTTTAATCAACAATTACTTCAATAATACACGAAAAAAAAAATACAAAATACCTCGTAGAAAGCAAAAAGTTTATATAATGAGATATGCTTTTTTTTATCAGAAAATGGTGCATGATTAATAAAAAGCAAATTTGAAAAATTACGAATAAATAAAACGCAAAATCTGTCAATGAGACCGGAAATGTAGAGTTTGCAAAATGAATGAAGGATGCCATTAAGTTGCTCGGGGATGCAACTGAATAAATTTTTGGTAGACTGAAAAGATGTTTTGAATTTATTGGTTTATTTTTCTTTTTTTTAGTATTATAGTATCAAGTCTATTTATAATAAAAAACATAAGATATCTATTTTTTTTATATAAATACAAATCTACTAAGAATCATATTTAATAATTTTTGTTGTGTACAATGTTACACACTAAATGATCTGGGCAATCAGTATATTTTTTCTTGTCAAATTTTTTCATATGATAAACAATTCGCTCGAAAAATGCGTCATATGGGTGTGCAAATTGTAACGATCACGTGATTTTTTATTATCGTTTTTGTCAATAAATTCCCCGCGTACCTGATTAGATTTCCAGTAAAGTTTTTCGCATATGTTGGTGTGTGCCTTTCAGCTTCCTTTCATGTAAAGAAAAAGTTATTACTGTATATCTAGAAATGTTACCAGTCCTAACTGTTCCTTGATTTCCAGAATGATTATTGCTCTTAAAACCCCTAAAGTTATTCATAAGAAATTTATAGGTGAGTTATATACTGAAGAAATATAGTAATTCTTTGTAAGCAACCAACAATTTTAGTGGAATCGGTCCCACTGAATAACATGATGATTTTCTTAAAGCGTTTAATTAATTAAAGTTGTTTATTAAAAAATTTGGAGGCGGGCTACTTGCTGAGAACTTTTTGCGGAGAACCAAAAATTTCAATGGGACCGGTTGGGACCGATAACATCCTAATATGAGTCTACCATGTCATCCCGAAATTCAAAATCCCGACATTCAAGATCCCGAATGGTACAAGATCCCGACAGTTCAAGGTTCCGAATGGTTCAAATTCCCAATATTCAAGTCCCGACAGTTCAAGATCCCGAAAGGTTCACAATAGACAATTATGTAATATTCTCACCTTATGATTAGTATAGTATGTCAAGAAAATCTCAGACTTCCAACCTCACAACTCGGCGTCTGGAGCTCAGGAATATTGCGGAATGTACAAATTACAATATTAGCGAGTTTTCTGACCATATTAATATAAAAGAACCAGTGTTGTTACACTGACTCGATAGTTTGCTTTACGATAACGATAATTTAATAGACTAACACTACGTAATCAGTTACATTAAGTTGATCAAAATTATTTTATTCGCGTTGCCTGCATTCCCTCGATTATTTGACGCGTATCTCTCGATTATTTGACGCATAAATCTTTTGACACTTTTTATCATAAACCTTTCGGTTCTTTTTTTTATCATAAATCTCCTGGTTCTTTTTTTATCAAAAACCTCCTATTGCTAAAATGAACGAAATTTGTGGAGTTATACCATCAAAAAACTGTCAGATCTTGAATGTCGGGATTTTGAACTGTTGGGATCTTGAATCGTTTGAGAGCTTGAACTATCGTGATCTTGAACTGTCGGGGTCTTGAACCATTCAAGCGCTTAAACTATCGTGATCTTGAACCATTCAGGATCTTGAGTGTCGGAATCTTGAACTGTCAGAATTTTGTACCATTCGGAATCTTGAACTGTCGGAACCTTGAACTGTCGGAACCTTGAACCATTTAGGAGCTTAAACTATCGTGATTTTAGGTGTCGAGATGTTGGAGGATCCCAAGAAAAAAATATAACAAATCTATAATAAAAATTATCATGTACAAAAGAATTTAAATCAATAATCTTATTAACAAACCAGCCAATATATAACTTATATCAAAATGTGAACAAAAGCTCTGCTTAATTATAATAGAAATTGGACCAAATATCTTAATTAAACTTTCACAAATAATTATAAATATAATGTAAGAAAATAAAATAAAATTCACAAAAATAGTATGTGTTTGAAAATTAAAGATTCTAAAATATCCACTTTAAGTTTAATTAATTTGTCTGGAATCATTCATATATTTTTATTTTTTTTTTTGATTAATTAATTATTTAATACTTGTTAATATTAAACTAATTTATTTTTTATTGATCATTTAAAATTACATAAAAAAGAAAAATTTATTATTATTATAACTATTTTTTGAAAATATAAAATTAACAATCAAAAAATTATTAAATTAATAAGAAAAGTTAACAAATTAGATATTAGAACTCTAAGTATTTTTATAAAATTTAATACAATTAAAAATAATTTTGAAAATTAATAGTTAAAAATAGTACAAACTAAAGTATATAAACTTAAATTAGAATATTATAAAAAATTAAAATTATTTTTAATAAAATAAGCTAACAAAAAAAGTATTATTAAAAAATATAAAATATATTATTTAATTTTTAAATATTTTTTCTTTTAATTAGTTTATATTTTTAACAAAATTTTTATTTATATAAAAAAGTTTGAATAAATTTCTTATAAAATAATTAAGCAAATTAACTAGGTATATTTTTTATATATTTATTAATTTTTTATAATTAATTTTTAACTAAAAAATACTTTATATATAAATAATAATAGACTTATATTAAATTCAAAAATTATCTAAGTTTATATTTAAAAACTCAAATATTAAACTTTATTATATAATTATAAAAGAATAAATAATATATTTAAATAAAAAATGAATTTGTAACAAAAATAAATAAAAAATTTAAATAATTCAAATTTAAGCTTTATATGGTCAAATTTTTTTATAATTATCATTTTTAAAAAAGCAAAATAGAATAATTATAAAGAAATATAACTATAAATAGATATAATTATAAAGAGATTTAATTATATATGACTAATATTTATTATTAACAAAATAAAAAACAGATTTAAAATATAAAATTTATTATTTAAAAAATTTATAAATTTAAAAAACAAAAAATATAATTTTAATTTAAATAAAATCAATCAAATTAATAAAATTACAAAAAAATTTAGTATAAAACTATAAATATTAATAATATAAGTAAATTAATTAAAATTTTAATTTAATAAATTTTAAAACTTGTAAAAATTACAAAGTAAAATTTTTTTAGTAATAAAATACAAATAAACTTGATATTTATTTTATTTAAATTTAATACTTAATAAACAAAATAGTATAATTTGATTAGAAAAATATAAAAATATAATATATACTTCTATACTATATTACTGGAAATTGAAAAAAATAGTAAAATATAGTAAAATTGATATTGTTTCTTTATATTAAAATTTATTATTTTTATACTAGAATATTCTAGAAGAATATATAGATTATCTTTATTTTAGTATAAAAATAAAAAAATATTTATTAATAAAATAATAAATTTTAATATAAAGAAACAATATTAATTTTACTATATTTTTTTCAATTCTGATAATATAGTATAAAAGTATATATATATTAAAATTATTATATTTAAAAAAGCAAAATTTGATATTATAAAAGAAATATAATTATAAAAAAATTTTTTACTATATTTATATTTATTATTAGTATTTTTGCTATATTGCAAATATAATATTTATTTATTATTAAAATTTATAAGTTATAATTTTAAATATAAATAAAAAACAAAATAAACTAATTATATCAAATATAACTATAAAAAAATTTAATTATATTTAAAGAATTTAAATTAATATATTAATAAAAAATTTATAATTATTTTTTATAAATAAAAATTAATATATAAAAAATTATATATTTTATATGTTTTCAAGTAATAATTCTTTAAAATAATAATTGATAACTATTTAATAATCTCATAATAGTTATTATAATTATAATATATTATTTAAATAATTTAATAATTTTGTTATAATAATAATTATATATATATATATATATCTTTATAATATTTTACTAAAAATTCTAAAAATAAATTTTTTACTATAAAATTTGATATTTTAATATTTGAAAATTTTATTTAAATAAAAATATTTTTAATTATATAATTATAATTATAATATTTTTATTTAAATAAGATTATTATATATTATACATAATTAAATTTATATATATTTATTTTATATAATACTCATTATATATAATAAGAAAATATATTTTTTTTATTTTTGCATTATTAAAACTACTTGAAAATATATAATAATTTACAAATATTGTTACCATTTTATATAAATCTTTGGAAGAGTTGTGAGTACTTAATAATATTATAATAAGTTACTTGATCAGGGTAATTATAGTAAAGTTTATTAAGAATAACGGGTGGG